TGTTACAGAGCTGTGCACTTGAAACCAGTATGGTTTTATTAACTACTGTCACCCTGCTACTGTGGAAAACGGTATGGAGGCTCCTCAAAAAAATGGAGCTGCCATTTGACCCAGTGACCCCACTCCTAGGAATGTATCTTCAGAATCCTGCAGCACTAATCAGAAAGACCTTATGCAGCCCGATGTTCATAGCAGCGCAGTTTACAATAGCTAAGATCTGGAAACAGCCCAGGTGCCCGTCAGTAGATGAGCGGATAAAAAAGCTGTGGCACATTTACACCGTGGAATACTATGCAGCCATGAAGAAGGATCTCATACCCTTTGGGACAGCATGGAGGGAACTGGAGAGTATTATGCTAAGTGAAATATCACATGATCTCACTTATATGTGGAATCTAAGGAACAAAATAAATTGATGAACAAGATAGGAACACAGACATGGAAGCATGAAACAGACTGAGAGATCTCAGAGGGAAGGCAGGAAGGAGGGGGGGAAGAGATTGACCAAAGAACTTATAAGCACATATGCACAGCCATGGACACAGGCAATAGGCAGGGGAAGGCCTGGGGTGGAGCAGGAAGTGGGGGGAAAATGGGGGACATCTGTAATGCTCTCAACAATAAAATTATAAAACCAAACCAAACCTGAATGGTCAAATGTTTCATATTTTCCAACAATTTTTATTAGCCCACTAGTGAAATGATCCAGGTTAGGAAGATCTTTCACTAAAATGAGTGGCTCTGTGCCACTGAAATGGAAGCTTTTTCAGGCGAGTGATGCAGCAAGCAAACAAAAACTTCTAAATGGGGACGGCGTGCTGACTTCACGGGAATGTGTTTCAAGCTGCCGTTTCCGTACGGTTTTAGACGGCACCTTCCACTCCAGGGTCAGCATGAACAGTGCTTACTTTAAGGGGAGTAAAGTTGAATGTGAAAATCATCTGGTATAGTTTGCAGGTAACTGTTCTGTGTGGACATTGCTTCGCTGTGGTTTTGCCTGGGGCACCCAACCCAATCGTCCTGGGAAGACTGTGGGAAAGGACTCGGGGCCTCGCTCGAATAAAACCAGGGCCTCTGGGAACTCATCTCATCCTGGCAGGTCACCCGCGTGCAGCTCTGGTTACCTTTTACCCAACGATGCTTATTTTTGATCAAGCTTTGTCCCCATTTCTGACGTTTCCCCCTACTTTTGTATCACGTGACAATTTTATTATTTCCTGGTTACTTCCTTCAAATGTTAATGGTAACTGCGACCACTTTCTCATGAACTGAAAAAGCAGCTGTGGACTTGCAGGCTCATTTACATATGTAAGGGGGGCAATCCTGGAAGGCTTTCCTGGCTGTAGCATCAAAATACCGTGATTTCCTTTAAAATATTTTTTTGATACTTAATTATCAAAACCATCCTTCTTACTAGAGTTAGTGTACTCATGTTTCATTTAGCCAGGTAAAAATGAAGGGATGTTTTATATACCACTGGGGTTATAAACAAAACATGTTAATAATGCTATTAAGTGGATGCACCTCAGACTATATAGTTATGCGAATCTAGAGGTTTTGTAAAGCAACATAGTTTCTAAAACTAGCAATTAAAACTTTGACAATATTCTTAATGTAGTGGTAAAGTTTATTTCATTTTTAATAACAATTAGTGGACAAAAATGTTTAAAATTTGCAGTTTAAAACATGCACATTCACAAAAGGCCAATGACACATAACACTGCATAGAACTGGATATTACTCAACTTTAATAGCTATTTATAAAACACAGTGCATTGAACATTGACATAAACAAACCTGAGAAAACTACTATAATCACAGATTCAACACTCTCCACTCATGCAGCATCACAATTTCTACAGCAGTTTCAGCAGGAATGGTTTTTCATGGAGCTGAAAATACTATTTTATCTCTAATGCAAACCGCAATTTTCCATAGTAGCTGCCTTGCAAGGCTGCCTTTTTTTTTTTTAAACCTAATAAACCTGAAAATGTGAAAAATGAAGCTTCAAGTAGTAAAACAAAGAACAAACAGTATTTACTGCATTTATGGCTTCTAGTCTAGAACCATGAAACATAAAAATATTTATTATTTTTTTTAATATTCTGCTCACATCTTTGCAAGAGCAGATTTACCCATGGAAAGTTGCTGTTAATTCAAAGGAAGCAAGTATGAAATCTAGCTTTTTTCCTACTTAAGGGAGATTTATTTGCTGAGTTTTGTGAGCTTTATTAAGAAAAATTCTCAGAGGCCAGCTAAACAAAAGTTTCAATTAAATTTGTTCAAATTTGTTTATAAAATAATTTACTTATTAAAAAAAAGTTGTGCAGTGAACCAATTAATTTGCCCACTGAATATTAAATTCCAGGTAGGCCATGATAGAATTTTTAAAAAGGCAAAAATAAACATCAAGATTTACAGCAATAGCCATGCATTGGCCTAGACCACTTTAATATTAATTCATGCAAACCATAAACCTATCAAAAACACAGCTGCTCTCATACAGAAAATAAATCAAGATGGAAAATGGAAAACATTTATTTCCTTTCCTTTAACATTTAACTTACATTCCATTTTAATAGCTGTTGAAGGTTAATTAAAATGCAGCAAAGTAGAACTAAGTTTCACAAGTGACTTCAGTTATTTTAATGTGAGAAAAATCAGACTATGGTCTCTTTAAGAGGTTATAGAAAAATGTTCACCATTAAAAAGCATTACTTAGGTAACAAACCGCATGGTGTTACATTAAGGAATTGACAAAAAGAATTCATAGGCCTGGCCCATATGATTGAATGGGGTGGGCGTTTTCTTGATACATTTTGTAGATGATTATGAGATTATAGACTTATTTGATGATATAAGTTTTAAAACCAGGAACTGTCCAAGGGCCACTGCACAGAAATAAACATGGATGATTACTTAGCTTTGTAATAAATGATGACGCTGTTATAAATATTTTAAAAACTACAAATATACAATCGATTGCTTTCAGACTAGCATGTTTCCTGAAAGAACATTTTAAATGACAGATTATCGGTGATATACAGTGTACGCAATGCTCAACAAATTACCATGTGGCTTTCCTATCGGATATTTAAAATGCTGAGTTGCGAAGTTAAAACATAAAATGTAACGGTCAGAATAAATGCTGATTTCTTGAACTCATTTCCTCCCGACCCCCGGAAATTAAGAGGAATCACTGATTCCCTTGAATGACCATACAGTTCATGTAAATGGCTAATATGACTGAGCTGACTACACATTCACCTGACGTGATCAGAAAAAGCTCCCCATGAACTTCCTGACACTGCGGAAGGCTTGCATCAGCCAGGGTGGGGCGTGGGAGGGTGGGCGGCACACGTATCATTTTAAATTTACTACATTCCTGAGAAACACCATTTTCCTGCTAATAATTCCTACCATATAGCATCTTTCTGGGTGTGAGACACCAATATATTTTTATATGCTATATAAAACATTCAGAAAGTTCATGTGCGGTGTCCCTGTTCACGATTCAACATCAGAGCAGCAACTCCCAGCTTTTCAATGTGAAATGAATGAGGGTTTTCTGCTGTAAGGAGTATTTTCTGAATTGTAAACACTGTCAAGCAATGGTGTTAGCATTTTCTAGAGTCCCAATAGGGGACTTTTTAATGGAAGAGTACATGTCCTTTATTTTAGAAAACACACATTAAAAGTCACTTCAACTGTTTATCGTAATCCTGGTAAAACTGTTACGTTTCTCTTCCGTGGGAAGGTTGAAAATCAGGGTTTTCTCTAATTTAACACTTTGAAGTCACTGTCATTGCAACATTATATTTTAAATTTCACCAAGCAGATCACTCCCTGCTACCTCCTGCCCCCACTCCCACCCAAGAAGCAAAGAAACCGACTTAATATTAATGATTCAAATAAAGGGCCATGGGACAAAGAAAAGCATAAATTAGTTATATTCTGATCATGATTAACCATGAGTATTCTACTCACGTTGAAGATCTCCACAGAAACAATCCATGTTTTGAGGTAAAATAAAACTTCTAGTTTTCTTAAGTCATAGAATTCAGTTTTATTATAGTCGTCATATTAATTTTGGGGGAATGCCACTCGTGAGGGGAGGGGAGGGCAAGTGGAAGCAACTGGTGTCTGTAGCTGCTATTAGGTTTTCTCTGGAGGGATGTCTGTCATTCTCATTTTTAAATTTTTGTGGTTTGACTTCAACTATCGGGAGGCCAGGAAAAGGCTCTAAAGATCCGCTCGGTAGACAGTTCAAGTCTGTGACTTCGGGATTCTGAAGACGCCTTCACCTGTGGCCTTGCTAGATGCTCTGATTCACGATTCTCTTCATCTGAATCTGGGAAGGGTCTGGGAAGTGAAGTGTGTCAGCTCCTGGCCCCTTTCGATTAGAATTATGCATGTGTTACAACCTCTCTTATTTGTAGAAAATGTGGGAGGCATGCTTGTAACCAAACAGCTAAAAATACCGAGAAGGAAGTGATGTACAGCCTAATTTTAAATCTAGATTGAGAAAAAGGGTGACAAGAATATGAAATTACTAAACTCAAGGAGTGATCTGGAAAAATCACCTCTCTTCTCAATTCCAGTCGATTTTTTTTTTTTTTTCAAGAGGAAGTTCTACCTATTTTGCTGGTAAGTCCACTTAAAGGCAAACAGGCTTTTGAATAAAGGCAGAAAGTTTGCTTCAATCTCTGAAGTGTATCTGAAAACTAGAATTCCTTTCTTATTTTTTCCTAAATGAAAGCATTATTTTAAAAATAGTGTAGAAAACTGGTTGTGGTTTTAAAACAGCCCCTTCACCATTTATTGTTGGTAGCAAAACAGGCATTTTCAGATGTCTTGAAAACGCTGAAAATAATGAACTGGAACATACAATTTAAAGCATATTAACAAAAAAAAAAACCCCAACTCATGATGAAAAGTGTTCTTTGACTGTAAAGCTACAGGCTTAAGTAAAAGAAGTATTTTTTGAGNCTACAGGCTTGAGTAAAAGAAGTATTTTTTGAGCGGGGAAAATGTACTACTTATTTGTCCTGATTAGCAGCATGTGCCTAGTTTTGGGAGCTGCTTGACAAGCGGCCTGTGAGGCACTTGTCAGGCCGCAGTGCTGGGCGTGCGCACAGCGCCGGGGTGTGCGCACAGCGCCGGGGTGTGCTGCGTGACCACAGGCGTCTCCGGCGGGCACGGCCGGGGAACCGGATCACAGCACAGACGCCGCGCATTTGTCTGACACGGTATTTCAAACATCTCCACAGAAGCATTAGAAATCCCACGTGAGTACAGAAGCATATTTTTCTTAACAGAGACAACTTTAAGACAAAAGGACATCACTCAATCTACAGCAGAAGCCAGACTTTTAGAAAAATCTAAATGATGATGCAACCTCGTTAGAAATGACTGAGACATAAACAGTTTTAAAAATCAGTAATGACAGAGTCACATGACTACGCGTGCCCTCTAACCTGAACAAATAAACAAGACAGACAAGAAAGAAGCGTCTGTAAGGCCGAAGGTGCAACATCACAGATTTTAGTAGCAAATGCCTCGAAATACTCAGTTTTGCAAATCACTCTTAGATTTGAAAAGTCAAGCATGCAGATCTGACAGCAGGACTGGAGGTAAGCTCGCTCTCAAATTTCTGGGCAAATGACTACTGAATGAAAAATAATTTATTGAACTTCTTTGGCAAACACTTATCAAGACAATTTTTGACACAAACACTTATTAATGTCTTGTCTAGAAATTTTGCTCAGTAAGATGAGTCAGTTCCTTAAGAATGCTGGTTTTTTTTCGTTTTGTTTTTTTTTTCTCAGCATATCCTGAAATCTAAGTCTGGATAGTAAGAGCCCCTTTCGCTTGTTACCATTTTGGAGTTTTTAATGGTTGGTCGCCTTGTGGTATATCCAATAAACTGACAGTTACAGCCCCACAGTTACGGATTCAGAATCCTGGCCTATTCTCAGAGTAAGAAAGCAGTCCGGCAAGATACAAGTCAGTTTCAAGTTCTGTTTACAAAGACTCAGCACATACTTAAAAAAATCTGAAAGAGATGGTGTTACAGTAGATCGCACAGTGCTTATGTCTATAATATACATGAATCTGAATGTCAATCAATGACATGAGCTCAGATCCACCTTTCACCTCCTTGGACCAGGCTGGAATTGGTCTGCAGCTTTCGGTGAAGACCGGGAGCCCTCCTCAGAGACGCAGCAGAGCCTGCCTGGTGGCCCTCCCCATCACCATTCATCAGGTCTCTGCTTTGTGGTATCATAGGCCCTAATCACTTCTGACTGTGAGACGATGCCGTTTTCATCTTGAGAGAAAGCATACCCGTCTGGAAGTTAAAGATAAAATAGAAATGATCATCATGAAGTCACTGGAAATCTCTGTTATTCTGAGTGCTCATTTTCTAACTTGGCGAACTAATGCATCCCTCCCACCCTCAAAAGCATGAAGACACTAATTTTTAATGTCTGGAAAAGACAGAGACTCAAGTGCAAAATGAGGAGCGGGACGGATGACTGGCTTAGACCCTGAACGTCCTCTCCCTCGATGAACGAGCAGGCACTCTCAAGCCCTCCATTCTCACTCAGCGTCTCAGTCCAGCCCATCTCATGCCTGCCTCCCGACTGCCAGAGGGGAAGGAGAGTCCAGCCAAGCGGGCACATGTATGTGCACATGTACCAGGCGAGTGAGAGGGAAGGAAGCATAAAAGTGCAGGGGAGACAAGCACACGTAACTGCGAGTGGTGGAAAATAGCCTCTCCCAGACAATACTCTGCTTGGCTTTGGGCAACTGCAAATAAACTCACAGAAGCCCCAGCATGGCCGGAGGGGGCATACGGATAAGAAATAGCCCCCGAGGGGATCACATCTTTAAAAGGCCTCTTGAAGTATAAAGAGCAAAAGCATTAAACATGAGTATATATAAATAAAAATAAATCATATGTGGAAACAACATGAAACAAAAGATATATTACTAACACAAATACATTTACTACAGGGCTTTATATATTATATTCCTTTTTAGATCCTTGAAATGTTAAGCGGGCATGATACCTAGTCATTTCTTACAGCCCTAAATGTTCATAAATATTTTTGAAGGGGGAAATATATGTTTCATTGTTCTGCATGAAAGCTGAAAAGGCTATTGCAAAGTTATTCAAGTAGAAAAGATAACAATACAGAGGGAGCTTTTAAGAGTTAAGATTTATTTTACTGGTTCTTTTTAAGATTTAAGGAAGCAAGGGGCATGTGGAAATATTATTTTTCTTTAAATGAAAGCAGCAAGGTTTTAAAGTGCTCTGTCTCTTCTGCTAAGAGTGAGATGGTCGAGGTCAAAGGATTCTCTAAACATTTGTTATTTATATAACATGTTGCAAAATATGCAAAAGTTGTTTTAGGGGCTGGTTTTAAATAGTTAATTATCCCCAAAGTCAAAATACTGTTCTCATGAATGCTATGAAGTAACGGCAGAATTTTTTTAAAAAAAATTAGAGCTCAAATACTTACGGAGCAGGTTTTGTTGCAATGATTCCGAGCGGTACAAGTTTACGTGGTTCTTCTTAAAGACGTTCTTGAGCAGTTGTGCCCTCTCTGTGAGGCTGCAGAGCAGGTGCAAACGTGTGAAATGAATTATCAGCTCAGCCGAGACCCCGGCGCCCACAGGACCGCCGGAGAGACTTAAACAAAAGATCGCTTGAGAAATCCGTAGGCCAGTGATTTCTTTTTTACCCTCATTTTCTCAGCTAATGAGATTTCAAGAGTTTAGATAGAAGACTATTTTGTCCCCTATAATCCAGTCAAAAGATTTCCCCACCCCCCTGGTTATAGTTATGTTAAATGGAGATATACAACCTGTAGAATACAATTAGTAAAAAAATCTTCTAGTAGTTTATTAGCTTCTAAATTCTTGGTTGACTTACTATGTGTATTTTAAGCATGGCAGTTTTAGAATTAAAATAATTAATTATCATTATACCTTTTTTCCTACTTTGAATATATTTTGGTATGCAATGTTTTTTTTAGTTATGTAAAGAAATCCTAGAAATTACACAAAGAAGAAATTTCTTAGACTTTTTAATTAGAAAAATTCCATTACCACTGATATGGTGTACAATGTGTCCCTTAGTTTCATTTTTAAGTAAAAGAATTATTTTCAGAAAATAATTATAGTAGGTAAAATGACAGGAAAAATATTTATTTTTCAATAAATGTTTAGAATAATATTTTCCACAGGAACAAATTCATGTGATTGATTATGTAATTTCTAAATGCATACAGCAAGAAATAATGCATCTGATTTTCTCCCACTGCATGCAGTAGGGAACTCAAATATCGGTTGAATACATGAATTTGAGTGATAATTCTGAAATGCCCTTCGAAACATCATCAATCCTCCCACTCAGGCCATTTCTCCCTGGGTTGATTTATAAAACCTTGCCTTGATAGCAAAGAACATAAGAAGCATGGAGAGCTAATAAGTAATCTATATGCGCTGCAGCAAATGTTTATACAATTTTGTTTTAATCACTGGAACTGACTCAGTTGAAAATTTTCCGTCTTGTATTTTCCCCACTATGAAAACTTCAGTAAAATTGCTGTAAGTTATGTTAGTTCAGTATTTTGCCAATTATTTTGAGACCCTGAAATGGAACAATTTTTATCATATGTAAAAGAAAAAAAGGATCTTCTACAAAATGAACTTGTAATTACACAAATATTTAGGCTTTTGCAGAAGCAAAATATTTAGAAATGTTGACATTTGTAATAATCTTCCACACATATTTTTTAAAGTCTAGGGATGTGAACTGGTACTTATTAGACATACTTTATTGTCACTGGGAATTAGCTACATTAAGGAAAGAGAGCTAATTCATCTAAAACTCCAGTGGTTTTGCAAATATTTGTAAAACTTGCTTCTGCCAGCGAAATAAACAGATAAGGGGAAGGAAAAGGGGCCATTTGTACAGTCACTTTTCTTACGCTACTCTTAAAATGATCTAACATTACAGACCCAGGGACCCCCGAGGGACATTAAAATATGTAACTGCTTTGGGGAAGTGGGCAGCTTTAGCAGCAGGTGGTCTGATTTTGTTAGCAGAGCCTCGCAGGACGGGGTGCTGGGAAGTCAAATGGAAATGACTACAGAAGACTAGGGGATGGTAATGTATCATTATATAGCTGCTTTTCCCCCAAATACATTTTCCAGGTTTCAGACTGGCCTTCCTAAATGCATAATACTTTAATATTACAACATCAAAGTGTTAAGAAGGCAGACATGAGAATTTTGTCTTTCATATTATGGTAACTTGCATATATAAGATAATGTAATTTTGTTTACTAACATTTCATAGAAAGCTACCCTCAATTTCACTCAGCTGCTATATAAAGCTAATGTCTAGTGTCCCCCCCAACCCCCCCAAAGGAGCACTAAGAAAGTCTTTCCTGGGAAAGGAGCACATCACTGTGGAAAGGCAGTCCTACTTTGGTTTAATTCTGAGTCTGTTATGATTAGCTGGGCACCTTAGGCAAACGTATGTAGAAGCGGACAAGCCCTAGCCCTCAGGCCGGCTGTGAGGGTTCAGGGAATGGTATAGCTTCTAGCACAGTGCCTGGAAAACACTCAACAAGTGCTACTTCCCTCACCACTCGCCAGGTCCCCAAAAATTGATTATAGAAAATCAACTAGAACAGAGACCATCACAAAAAACAAAAGATGCTCTGTGGGGATCATTTCTGATGCCCTGGTTTCTGTTCAACACTAGCTCAACACCAGATGTCTGCTGCTACACTCGGTTAATTTATAATGCCCCACTCCACTCCTTAGGAGCAAAGTATGAGTTTTGTTTTTTCTTTGTTTTTTGCCTTAGCTGCCTACTATTACTTCTTATAGAGCAGATTCCCTCCTAGAGAGTAGAAATGCCATTCACCGGGGGTGGGGGTGGTGGTGGGGGTGGTGCTTAATATGTAGTAAGTGATGATAAATTGTATTTCTCTGGCCTTCTCCTACCTTAATTAGGGAACTACTCATCAGGTGAAAATTATGCAATTCTGTGCCACTGATGTTTATGGGCCCTGATATTACTATAAAGTCATATTATAAAAATACACTGGTAACATGTTAATCATTAATAAATGTGTTAAAAGTTCAGTTTTTGTTGAATAGCTGAACATAATGTGAGAAAGAAAAAAGTCTCTAGTTCCTTCTCATTAAAAACCTTAGTCAGTAGTTTTACTGTCTTGTATGGTCTTTCATTTACATACCAAGCTATGCAAGCTCTGAATTTGTATAATGTGGTTACATACACAACAACTACACTGAAATAGTTACCTTATTTTCAAGCCCACCAAAATTTTGCAACTTAGATATATGGTGGAGGTGAGGTGGAATGAGACCAAATTTTAAAATAGTACTTCATCTAGAAACATTAAAAAAGTATAGGTAAAAATCCATGTACTGTCCCAGAACAGGCTGTCATAAAGTATTTTCAGTAATCTTTTGAGAGAGGTAAATTTGCATTTGTCTTTATGTTGGGTGGCCACGCTGTTTTGGTTGGCTCATTAAAATGGATCTCCTCCGGAAAGTAAAAACCCTCCATCCACTGAGTGTCTCGGTGTGCGGCACGGGACAGCTGTCCTGTACGAGGCGGTGGTGCCGGCGGGGAGGTGAACAGTGACTCTAACAGGCCTAGCCTCGGCTCCGGAGGAGAGAATATTTCCTTGTCTGCCACTTTTCTTTACCAGTGCTGGGTCGTCACAGTGATGAGTGGGCTGGGGGAAACCATCTGATATGTCCGCCTATCCTAAATCCCGATATAAAATCCAGTGTGACAACTGAGAAATAGTATGTTTTCTATTAGATCTCGAGTAGTGTTATCGTTGCTTTTTGTCAAGATAAATAACCCAGGGAAAGGCCGGGAGAGATCCCCGTTACCCTCCGTATGAGCAAACGATCTGACACCCAGACTTCCTTACTCTCTTCTTTAAAGCTAAGGCCCTCTGCCCACTTTTTGATTGGGTTGTTTGTTTGGTGTTGAGTTTTATGAATTCTTTATATATTTTTAAAATTAAACCTCTGTCAGAGCTACTGTTTGCAAATATCTGCATCTGGTTGGCTGCCTCTGTTTTGTGGTCAGTTTCTTTTGCTGTGCAGCAGCTTTTTAGTTTGATATAGTGCCATTCATTTGTTTTTGCCTTTACTTCCCTTGCCTTTGGGGTGAAGTTCATGAAATGTTCTCTAAGACCAAGGTCCATAAGTTTGGTACCAATGTTTTCTTCTATGTAACTTATTGTTTTGGGTCTCACATTTAGGTCTTTGATCCATTTTGAGTTAATTTTTGTACATGGAGACAAACTGTAACCTAGTTTCATTCTTTTGCATGTGGCTTTCCAGTTTTCCCAGCACCATTTATTGAAGAGACTATCTTTACTCCATTGTGTATTTCTGGCTCCTCTGTCAAAAATTATCTGCCCATATACATGTGGTTTTATATCTGGGCTCTCTATTCTGTTCCACTGATCTGTGTGTCTGTTTCTGTGCCAATACCATGCTGTTTTGATGATCACAGCTCTGTAGTATAATTTGAAGTCAGGTAGTGTGATACCTCCGTATACCACCTCACACCTGGTGTGTTATCAACAAGACGAGCAATAACAAGTGTTGGAGAGGCTATGGAGAAAAGGGAACCCTCATTCACTGCTGGCGGGAATGTAGACTGGCACNGGCTGTTATCAACAAGACGAGCAATAACAAGTGTTGGAGAGGCTGTGGAGAAAAGGGAACCCTCATTCACTGCTGGCGGGAATGTAGACTGGCACAACCACTATGGAAAGCAGTCTGGCGATTCCTCAAAACATTAAGAACGGAGCTACCATACGACCCAGCCACCCCTCTCCTGAGTATACACCCAAAAAACTCAAAAACATGTATTTGCAAAGATATATGTACCCCTATGTTCACTGCAGCACTATTCATGGTGGCCAAGGCATGGAAACAACCAGTGCCCCGCGATAGAGGACTGGATAAAGAAGGTGTGGTGCATGCATACAATGGAACACTACTCAGCCATGAGAAAGGATGACACTGCCATTTGTGACATGGATGGACCTTGAGAATACTATGCTAAGTGAAACAAGTCAGCCAGAAAAAGCTAAGAACCATATGATTTCACTCATATGTGGGATATAAAACAAACTCATGGACACAACAGGAGTGTGGTGACTGCCAGAGGGAAGGGGGTGGGGGTGAAAGGGGTCTTAATATATGGGAGAAGATATGACTTTGGGTGGTGGACACACAGAGCAATATACAGATCTTGTAACAAAAAAACCCATACCTGAAACCTCTATGTTCATATTAACCATTGTAACCCCAATAAATTTAAAAAATAAAGCTAAGGCTATGGATTAAACAAAGGTAATGGGCAAATTAATGAGAACTGACCTGAGGATCCTGGGCTAAATGCTGAGGATGGCATGCTGATTAATGTTTACAGTTAGATATAAAAAATTATGAGCCTTATTATCACAGTTGCCTGTCTATAGGATGCACTGCTTCGCATGCACATAAAAGATATCCCAAAATAACTGTCTTGTCTCCAATGAGTCCAGTGGACTCAATTCCTTATTTTAATCCTTTGGGTTTTGAATTTACATTTTTTTTCTTTAAAGAAAGTAAGATGTTACAACTTGTAGATATAATACCCTCGAGTGGGATCTGAGAGGCCCCCAAAATTAATATTTCTGCTTAAAATGTATAAACATTTACATTATAGAAAAAAATAAACACTATTAATGTCCTTATATTTATAGAACAAATGGTTTAGGTTTTTCCAAGAAATATTTGCTATAAACTATGGAAAAAAATGGATTTTTGAAGTGGTTTCTTTTTATTTTATTTTGGAACTGTAGATGCTTCTGCTCTGTCGTGTTGGAGCGTGTCCGCATAAAAGTGACAGCAAAGAACAGGGTCTCACAGCATTTAAGTCATTTCCTTAACCAAAAACAACTAGCCATGGCTACACAGTGATCGCGAGTGAGGTTTGCATTGATTCTCCCAACACTTTAGGCTTAAGTCAATTTCTACCATGCCCCATGGCTTAAAAGCAATATACTTCAGATGATGAAATATACCCCCCAATTTTTATGTAAAATCGGAATATACCTAATTCGCTGGATAATATGGTAAGTGGCATAATATTTCCTCAAAAAAGACTCATTATTTTAATTAAGATATTTTAATTTTTGAAAATGAGTGAAGATGAGAAATAAATTATTGCAAATACTGATCTGGATACAGTGCTTACAAGTTATAGCTTTTCTAGCAGAGTTTCATTTTATGCATAGCTTGACTTCATAGCATCCCTTAGTGAAGATTAAAATAAATTAGGGATGATCAACTGGCAAGATCTTCCTTAAGAACTGAATCATTCTATGATGAAAAAGTAAACCATCATTACTTCGGATATTACTACTTTGGGAAGTGTAATCCATGTAATTCTATGTTCTTATGTAGCCTATTTTTAATTAACTACCCACAGGTCAACCATCTGTTTACTACCCACCACTCTATCCTTTTACCCCTCCCTCCCTCCCTCCCTCCTTTCCTCCCTCCTTCCCTCCCAGGAGTTCAATCTAGTAGGTAAAACAAACATAGGTAAACAAATACATTATAATACAGGCAATAAATAAATGTCAAAACAGAAGAGTAAACAAAGTGCAGAGATAGGAGAGTAGGAATTAATTGTATTTGTGAAAAGTTGAGGTAACTGCATCTGAACTGGGTTTCGGAAGCCAGGAATTGGACTGCCCAGTTGGTAAGAGGCTATGTATCAGCCAATAGACAAGGGAACAGCACTGTGTGAAGACTGGGAGGCATAAAATAACATGGTGTTTGGAACTAAAGGAAGTCTGGTATTGCTAAAATACATGGAAATCACAATTTCTCCCTTTCTGAAAATATAGATAAAATTAGCAGACTTTTAAAAATTTGACTTTGATGTCATTGTCCAAGATTCCTAAAATAATCCTGGCAGTAAAATCAATCTGACAACTCCTTAACTGCCTTAGAATGCAATTCGTTCAGCATGAAGGATTTTCCAACTAGTTAAGATTTTTCTCCTTTCACCGACTGTTTTCTTCCCCCTCCTCCAGCTATCGCCTAGTGAGACACTATGGTCATGCTGCTCACTCACTGATGGGCAGCAGCAACATGGGGTACGTGTTGTACCAGGGGTTGTGTCTGATATTCAGGTAACAGCTAACTCATTTCTGAGTTCTTGAGAAAAGCTGAAGAGTTATTTCAGGCAAATGAGCTGGGCAGCAGCAGGAAATTGATCTGATGCACTTTCTCTGGAGAGGCTGGTGGTCACGTACGGTGGGATTCGCTTCTTTCCTTTGAGGCGCTCTTACTATATTTTGTTTAGTTTAATGCAAGGGGCTACCTACATCACAGGCCCATCAAATCTGTAGGATCCAGAGGTCATCACATCAAACCCTCAGCCTGCTCTACGCATTGTCACTGATATACTACAACCCACGAACACTAAATATCACGTGGAGGGGCTTAATGTAGGTTTTATCAGCATACAAATATGAGAAATTTACTTCTGAGGGTACTGACAAGTATCATCAGTGGCCTTTCCCTAATAATTGTTCATAAATGGTTTTATTCACAATTTTGTGAACTAGCACTCTTACCACATCCTTTTTATAGCTAGAACGAGAGAGAGAGAAGACATTTATTGAGGGACTGTTTATGCGAGGCGATGGGACGGATGTCATTTTAGGTGAAGGGACCGGGATGGAGGGGAAGGTGGAGGGAGGAGAAGACTATCTCTACCCTTGAAAACAGGTATTATCACCCCCATCCCATGCCCAGGGGCACTGATGTAGGGAGGGCAAGGACTTTGCCAGGCCAGTGGTAGGCTGCTTTTGCTGCTCTGTCACGTTCTTGAGAAGGCTGCACCAGGAGGCAGAACAGTGCGTGGCTAGGAGCAGCGCTTGAGAATCAGTCGGTAAGGGCCAAGGCCCAGCTCTGCCACTTCTGACCTTGAGAACTTAGTCTCTCTCAGCCCCCGTTTCCCCATCTGGGAAAATGAGGAGGCTGGATTTGTACGTGGCAGTTATAGGGATTCAATGAGATAGAAAACACGAAGAGGTAAGCGCAGCACCTAGCATGCAGTAAGTGCTCAACAAAAGCCAGTGCTAGTAATTTGAGAGAGGCACAGACCGGTGTGTGACGTGCCCCTTGGGCCTCATGAAGGCAAGTGAGGGCTGGAAGCCAAGGTCTCAGCTTATGTTCCCAGCCTGACACATACTCCACTGTGTCAAACAGAATAAGAGCAGTGAATCATGACGAAGGTGACATATACCAGGGCAAAAGATTTCTTATGGTTTGGACAAAACTTTAGCTTATTTTAGTGTGATGAAAGAGAGAAAAAGAAATACCTGGCATTATCTTCATAATTGTTTATTACAGACTGCTTTTAAGTAATTTTAATTTCCTTTTTATAATGCTTTGTGAATTTAGTAAATTTGATTAGCTTTCTAACTTTGCTTTTTGTGAGGTGGTGGTGCTGAGGAGATGACTTGGGAGACATAACGCCCTTCATTTATGATAAATGCCTGTCAGTTCCTAATCATATGCTGAGCCACATATGCAACTGCAGGGCACTTCGTCCTAAGTCAGGCTTTGATTTTCAGGACATAATAATTTATTATGGATACTGTTTGAAGCTAAAAGTCCCCCCCCCCCTTTCAGTTCAATAACACAATACTGTATGTAACTACCATTTATTTAATGCTCATTAAGCACTGGACATTGAGCTATCTGCTTTATTGGTAGTATTTTATTCAATTCTTACAACTAGCCATGAGGTAGGTATTATCACTCCTATTTTAAAGATGAGGAAACTGAGGCTCAGAATCATTAAGCAGCTTAGCTAAGGTGACACACAGCTTAGCGAAATGACAGATTTGATCTGAACCCACATCTCTGATTCCAAAATCTGGCAACGACACTGCTAGCTCCTTGTTAACTGATAAAATATGCTTTACCACTTATTTCCAATCACTAGTAGAAGAAAAATTTAAAAGCTCACTTGGAAAAGAACATATTCAGTGCATTTTACCTTTTTCCAAGCACGACTGCTCCTGGATCTTGAGATTTTGCCTCCAGCTCCTGAACTTCATCTACTAATGTTTTAAAAGCAGTCCTCTTGATACTGCAAAAAAAAGTTTGCATGGGAATATCTGTGTGAAGACTAAAGATTTCACAAACTGGTTTAGATCATGTTTCTAAGTACACTAGTGACCAGACTATAAGCAACAGTTTTTCAATAGAATATAAAAACATTACTATAATTTTGAGCATTAAATAATTAGAGAAACAACAATCTTAAACGGCTTAGGTTTATAACATTAAAACTCATGGTTATTAAGGAAGCAGCATGTAACTAACTTCCACGGTACTGTTTTTTGTGGGGAGAGATGACATTTTAAAACTTATAATCCATGAGATAAATTAGTAAAGTTCTAGTTTCTTTCATTCTATAGTTTATATATGAGAGCAGGCAAGCAAAAAACTTAATTTCACAACTACTGTTCACTAATAAAATATATGTGTGTTTGGAGATAATATAATTTTTTCTTCTACCTTCACTAGGTTTTTAGATTGATTTCTAAAAACATCCTCTCTAATATAACTGCAACTATCTGCTTTACTTCTTATTGTCTTTTAAACTAGTTTTCCAGTTTCTAAATCACTCTTTATTTATTTATGTACAATAAGTAAATAGTACTAATTCCTATTCTGCAAATGCCACATTCTTGAGTTGATGTCAGAAGTAGAGAAATGTGTGGATTGACACGCATCTGTATTTTTATGTCCGTGACTGGGCACTGCACTTACACCTTGCAGGCCACATCCAGAAGCAGCGAGGCCACGGGGATGAAGAACAGGCCCGTCCAAAAGACTCCGGAGCTGAAGAGCATGGCTGCCTGCGGAACCACCAGAAACAGAGCTACTTTCACAACCAAGACACACGCCGTTCACGTTCAGGTTTGACAGGATTTTAAGTAGAATAATTTTAAGAATCTCATTCTGTAAGAGGGTATACTATAACTCTAAATTTAAACTTGTGAAATATTTGAAATTAAAAGCCGAATGTGTTAAAACATGTACTTACTACATCTACTTTTTCCCCCTTGAGTGTCTAATATAGCAAAGTCTTATCACCTGCCAAGTCTTTTCATATTTCTATGTGAGATTTTTATTATTGTGGTCAATACATGGAGTAATAAATGTTGACCTTCTTTTATAACTTAGAATAGCTCTGACCTTCATTTATATCTTTATAATATAAAAATCAATCTTTTTGAGCAAATTCAAATATGTTCTGGATTAAATTCTCTTATAATACAACATGTAAAATAAATCCTAGTTAGAAACTAAATTTACTATTTTGCAAATAAAAATTCATGATTTTTATAAAATATGACATGATAGTAAAAAAATCATCCAGATAAATCATGAATACAGTATAATCAAATGAAGATATCTATAAAAATAATTTTACTTATTTTAGCTGATATTATGCAAAATAATCTTAATTTTTGTTCAAAGATTTACATAACTTGTATTGGTACATTCTGTTATTGCTAAAGTCACACCAAATACCTAGTATGTAAAACTCAAACAAAAGTATATTAGAAATAATTTTAATCATTCTTTTGTGTCAAATCCCAAATTGCTATATCAGAGCCATTTGGGTTGCAAAACAACGATTCTATAAGTATAAAATTAATAAATTCTATTGGTTATTTGCAATTATAATAAAAATTTCTTTGCAATATAATTAGATTACACAGAGCTTGAAAGAGATATGATACAATAAAACCAAAAGAAATATTTTGCTTGACTTCAAGTCTATTTGTTCATCAAGAGTAAATTTGCAGTAAACATACTGTTATAACCCCATTAAAATATGCACGCACATTTACACTCTATAAAAATCACAGAGAATTTTTTTATTTTTAACCAGGTGTGGTTCTGGAATAAAAAATGATCTAGCATTTAATTCTTATAGGCAGTTTTACAATTACACACAAACAATCCCAATCAACCAATCCGTATCAAATAGCAAGATTACTAATTTCAAATTATGTTTTAAATTACCTATTCATTTTGACTCTCAACTGAAGACCAGGAACTGCTGTTTAAATTTTTTCTACATGAACACCGGCTTATCAATACAGACTGTGGGGTCAAGAATGCTAAGATTTCTCCCTTTATAGGATCAAATAGCTCTGAATACAGTTAAAATAAAAACGTGCTATTACCAAAAATTTCAGAAAATAAACGTTGCCACGTGGAGTCACTGAAATAGGCCCCATATTCTAGACACCAACGACATGAAAAATATTCACATAAAAGTCACTTTATTTTATAAGCAAAACATGATCTTCGACGTGTTTGCTGACATCCTCAATGGCGAAAACCAACATCACTGTGTAACAGGACATGTCCACCCAGCCAGCGGGCTTTGTCCTGGGCGAGGGCAGCTTTTCAGCAAGGTAACGACTGTAGAAAAACCACATTTCTTTTCCCTTTTGGGGGGGAAAAGGTAAGATTCAAGATTCTAAGGCACGTCGCTGAAAATACCTTGTTCACTTGGCTTAATTTTAATCTATTTAAGTGGAGGGGGCAAGAGGAGAAAGATTTATTCTTGCCTTTGCCACCTGGGATAAAACAGCGGCTGATGCAAAAGGCGAAGTGCCGGGAGCCGGCGGCTCTGCCCATTGTGATGTTAACCGGCGCCCGCCATTCAGCCCGCCTTTGGCTTCACAAACCAACCACGTGAATTGAGGGGAGAAAAGTTTTTTTCTGCGTCATATCTGAAAGCCTGTCAGATTTTTTTTTCTTTTGCAGAGTTAATCCAAACCTAAAAGATTTAAAGCCGGCCTCCGCTTTAAAGACAGAGAGGCTCTGTATTTTTTGGATGAAGGGGGGGACCCCACAGAGGTATTTCCTTCCTTTCTGCAAAGACGCGCCCCGCCCCCTGCAGAACCGTTTCTGTCTCGCACTTTTCACTTGTCCCCCCGCAGGCGGCGGGGAAGGCGCACAATGGGCGGGGGCGCCCTCCGGGCAGCCTGCAAACCGCCCTAACGTGGGAGACGGGGCCCTGG